ATATATATATATTACACTTGTATTTAAAAATTTTATTTTCCTTGCTCTAAATTTTGAAAACATCAGTACATTGATATTGTGTTTCTAGGGGAGTAAAATGTTGCTCTTTATTTGTAGGTAGTGGTCGAGAGGCATCCCTTCCTGTGAGGACTGTTGGGTCTTAGCATTAGTGCCGAGCAGGAACTTAGGGTGGAGGTGTGGCAGGCTTGGAGGGTAGGGCAGTCCAGCCTCAGCATGGCTGTGGTTCGGATTTAACTGGCGAGCGCCTGGCTCCTGGGACTGTTTGCACAGGGCCTGGGCCTACAGCAGCCTCGTACCTCCACAGAACCCTTGTCATACACTCCTTTCTCTAGGTGTCACCGGTTTTCAGCCTTGCCCCGCCCCCCCCCCACGAACACGCGGTTCCAGGGTTCTGCTCTCCCCCAGATTTGGGCAAGGAAAATCTGCTGATCCGCTGATCCCCACTTACCTTTCCCCCGAAGATCTAGTGTCCTTTTCCTACACTGGCCAGAACCCAGGGCTTGTTCCAGCCTCCCTTCACTCTTGTGTCTGGGTGCCTTTTTCTGTTCTCCAGATCTTCTCCAAACTCTTGTCCCCAACTTCAGCAGAAACAGCAACCTGGAGCCATGGCAGGAGCGGGGACACGCTGTGTGTGGCTCACGGGAGCAACTGTGATCACAAACCACAGGCCAAACCCTGCCTGAACACGCTCCAGGAGGCCTCAGAGCTCAGTAGCCCCACCCCCACAGGGAGAGGGCAAGAAGCACTGGTCTAGATTACAAAGTGCCCTACGCACATGATTTCAGGGTGTTCCCACAATAATCCTGGGAGGGGAAAAGAGCAAGTATCACTGCACCCACGAACCCATTTTCCAGAGGAAAAAGGTGAACTGTCCTTTCCCAAGAACCCATTTGGTAACTTGTGTCAGGGAAACACCCCAAACTGGTCATCTGCCCCAAGGTCAAGCTCTTTTAAACCCTGGGTCCTTCTCCCATGGCAGCAAAGAGGACGACACAGGAAGAACAGGAGAAGCAGGGGCCTTTATTAGGGTGACACCCCAGGCCTGGGCTAGGAACAGGCAGAGCAAAGGGCCCTCAGAGCAGGAACCGAGCCCTCCCTGCCTCCATCCCCGCCCCCATCCCACGTTCCTTCCTCCAGCGCCCCCTCCCCTGCCCCTGCCTCTGGGAAACGGAGCACCAAGAACTGACAAGCAGGACCCTCCAGGGCCACAGCTTGGAGTGGAGTGCAAGATCCAGGCTTCTGCCTCCCCACAGTGGGCGATCTGGGAGCTCAGTGCATCCTCCGCACCAGGATAAAGGAGGGGTGCTTCTTTGTCCCCCAGAACAGAACAAACTCTTGTTCTCTGTGATGGGGGGGTGGGGGAGGGACTTGGGCCTCTAAGATGGACCTAGGAAGAGGCCAGAGGTGAGACCCCCCAGGAGTTTCTGACTCCACCTTGCACTTGCAGTGTCTCCACTTGTCCTTCCCAGGGACTCTGGTGCACGGCTCAGAGTCTGGGCCAGGGTGGCTGATAGGCCAGTGGGGACCTGCTCCAAGACATCTGTGGGTTTCAGAGTGAGGGTTTCCCCAACACCAAATTCATCTATATGTACACAGGACAGCACCCCGGTGGCCAGGGAGCAGCTGCTGGGGGCTAGTAGGAGTAGCCACCCTTGGGGCCAAAGGGCTGGGTAGGACCAGCCAGCTCTGGGAGGTAGGCAGGGCTCTCGTCCAAGTGGGACAAAGGGACTGTGTCTTCCTCACTGACCGGCCTGTCAAACTCGGCCTTGAGAGCTGGACGCTGATTGTCCGGGAAGGCCAGAGAGAAGAGGGCCTCAGGCTCGCACACGAACTTGTACACATAACGCTCCCCAGCCACCTGCGGGGAGAGAGGGGCTGGGTCAGTCTAACTCCAGGTCAGTGTTAAGGGTGGGGAATGGGTCTAGGCAGATGCATGGAGTACATTTCTCTCCATACGCGTTCCTCTAAGCAGCCAACTCCCTTCTGGGGTTCACCTCTAATGTCAATCTCTCCATGCTCTGGACTTCTTAATGTTTAGCACTTTTTGGGGATTGTCCATAATTTCTTGTCCCTTCTGGCTGGTTCCCTGTCTATCTGCTCCTACAAACTCCTAAGATTGCTCTTCTGTCCCCCTGCCCCCACCCTCTTGTCCCTGGACCCCTAGCCCTTGACCTTCTGCATGATGCCTTTCTCATAATAGTATCGGAGTGAGCGGCTCAGTTTGTCGTAATTCATGGCGGGCCGGTTCTTCTGGATGCCCCAGAGCCTGGCGACCTGGGGGAACAGGAGAATTTTGGGATGGCGATGCTAGCTCAGCAGAGGAAAAGCGAGAGGCAGGTCAGAGAGAGCACTTGAGATTTTTAGTGCAAAATGCTTAGCTGGTCAGGCAAATAAGCAACCAGCTCAAAGACCCTGTAAGAATTCAGGTTAGTTAAAGCAACGATGATGGTGACGACGCATGCGCCCGTTCCCAGGTTCTCTCATCTCCAGGCCCAAAATCTGTTGGAAGGGGAGGGGGGAACATCTGAGAGGCCCACCTCCTCAGGCTCGATTAGCTTGAACTCCATCCCCCGGCCCGTCCAGGCAATGAAATGAGCATTCGTTGGGTCATCGAGCAGGGCCACCAGAAACTGCCACAGCTGCAAGGCACCCCGGCGCTGGTAGGGCGGTCCCTCTCGGAACGCTCCCATCCCTTCCTGCTTGATGTCTCCTGGGGAACACAGGAAAGAGGAGCGTAGGGTTTGTGCCTGCGGGTCCCCAAAGCAACCTTCTCTCCCAGGGGTCTTTCCAGGCCCTTTCTCATGAAATGTCATGTGATTCCCAGGTGACAGAGTCAGAGGGCACGGAAAAAAACCTGCCCCTCTCATGAACAGTCACGTCTCTGACCTTCAAATTTCTCAGGGACGACACAGACATCATCTGGGAATGGTCGCACAGGTTTCTCATAGCCATAGCCTTGAGGAGGAAGTTGGGGGTCACTCAGATCTGGGGGTTCACTGATGAGACCCCAGAGTGTCCAGAGGGATTCCTGGTTGGGAGACCCTCCCCCAACTTGGAGGACTTGGCAGGGAGAGGGGGCTGCCTTACCCATGGTCCCATCACCTGGAGAGGGTCCGGGGAAACCCTCTGTGTGTAGGTACATGGACGCACACCCAGGGACATCTGGGGGTAGAGAGAGAAGGGGGGATGTTATAGGTGGCTGGGGTGGAGGTGGGGGCAGCAGGCCTACACACACTTAAGAACTTCCTGCCGGCCTGCTTTCCGGTTCTGTTCCCAGCTGCCTGCCTACCACAGTCCCAGGGGAAGTTCACCCAGAGGGGGTGTGAGGCTGGAACCCTTCAGCTGGAGGGCGGAGCCAGGGGGCAGGGATGGCAGCAGCTGGGGCTGGGTAAAGCTGTTCCACAAGGCCCAGGATTCCAGGGAGCAGCTGTTTCCTGTGCGTTTAGGGGGAGGAGGCAGGGACAGAGATGAACCTCCGGGGAAAGGATACAGTGTCCATGTCTAAGACTCCCTTGGAATGGGCTAACCTCCGGTCAGCAGGTCAGATTCCCTGCCCAGTGTGTTACATGAGGGCGGGAGGAACCAGAGGAGGAAAGGAGAGTGGGTGGGAGGGAGCGCCTGCATGGATCTGTAACTAGGGAAGAGGCAGTGGGCACTGGGCCGGGTTTTTTTTTTTCCCCCCAGCTCTGACAGCAGAGCACATTCCACTCCATCGGATTCCGTTCCATAGGATTGAAACATCCCCACTCCACCTGGAGGAGTTGGTGGTGTGAAGCCACCCATTCAAGTTCCAGTCCCTTCGGCCCTCCACTCCCACCTATGAATGAGATGGTGAAACCTGACACCTCCGGGAGGAGGCGGGAGAGTGGGCTCATTCAAGCGTCCATTTTGTGAATGGAATTCCTGACTCCTTTCAGAGGAAGCTGAAGGGGGAGGGGCAGGAGTTCAAGGGCAAGTAACATGATCTCCTCCGGTCTACATCCTTTGAAGGTCAGCGGCAAGAGCCGTCTCCCTCCTCTTTCCTGCACCTCACTGCCAGGCGTGGCTCAGGCTTATGCCCCGGGGTGAGGAGAGGTGCGCCCTTCTGGTTCTCACTCAGGCAGCCCTGGGGGTTTGTGGTTCATTCCCCTGCCCCTAAAAGACTGTGCATCAGAAAAAGGGAAATTCGAAAGCTCTGGCCAGCTCTGAGCCTATTCTAATGGCTGAATATTTTTCTCATGCAACTTTGCATAGAAACTCAATCGGGGATAGTAACAGTGTAGCAAGCCAAGGTTTTCTGGGCCCTTCCTCCCTGAGAAGCGCCATCCCTGTGCACTTGGGGCTTTGAACTACAGCTATTTATGAATAGAATATGGCTGAGGGCATCTCACTCAGGTCAACACGGGGTGGGACTAGAATTTACAGCAGCCCCTACTTCTGTACCCAGCGCTGGCCAAGAGGGTGGCCTGAACACGTTGTATTAACCCTGAGTCCCAACTGGGAACTATGAACCTAGCTAGTTTCAAGTTCATGTTTCTCTTCATTCAAATCCCTTCGTATTTTTAAAAAATAGATTTTTTTTTTATTGATTTCAGAGAGAGGAAAGGAGAGGGAGAGAAACATCAATGATGAGAGAGAATCATTGATTGGCTGCCTTCTGCACACCCCAGACTGGGGATTGAGCTCGAATTGGGGATTGAACCCTCATTTCCTGGTTCATGGGTCAATGCTCAACTGATGAGCCACCCTGGGCTCCCTTCGTATTGTTAAGCATCTCTGGGACTGAGAACAACCTATTAATCTTTGTATCCTCTAAATCCACAAATTCATACTCCTCAAACAGTACTGTGGTCTCTACAGGTAATTAAAACCCCAGACACCTGCTAAATAGACATAGAAAGACATGTCTTAACTTTCCTATTAAGTCGCATGCTACCTGAGGGTAGGGACCTACATCCCATTTATTTTTTATCTGAATATAAGTTTGCTGATTGAAAAAAATGACAATTTTTCTGACTCTATGAAGGAAGTGAATGGGTTGGGTTTGTGAACCAGTAAAAAGATAGGAGGGTAAAGAACTTGGGGAAAGACATTGTGGGGGTTATCATGCCACCCCACCCAGCAATCTCACCCCAGCCCCTCCCACCTGAAATGTCTCTTACCCGAGTCATAGGCGAAGTCCGTCTGCTCTTGTTTGATCACCACCCCCGCCCCTGGGTACCTGTGCCCATTGACCCTACCCTGGCCCATGGCCAGCTGTTCGTACAGGGGGTCAAGGTATTCCTGCTTGAAGCTCTGCTGGGGGTAGGGTGGGCAGGGCTCCGACAGCTGGTGTTGGTAGGGGGCTGGGAGGGGTTCCCGGCCCCCTCCCTGAGAGGATGTGAAGGAGTGGCAAATATCCAAGGGCTGCTGGAAGACGGAGCTGGACATGGGTGGATGGAGAAGGAAGAGAGGATTAGATGAAGTCCTCCTCGTGCCTGCCACTCCCAGAGCTTGCAGAGTGGGCTCCAGTGTGGGTGTGGGAGTCCATATCCCTTCCTCCCTACCTCCCCCCCTACACCAGGTCTCTTAAGGGCAGGTGGAGGACCCTCAGGGACTGAGGGAAAACTGCTGAGATCTCGGCTCCCATTCTGGGGGTCTCCTTACCTATGCTCCCCGAGGTACCCGTGGCCAGGGTGGGGCTGGGAGGTGCCAGAGGATCTCACGAAATTCCGTTGTTCTGCCCGGGGAAAGGGCTGCAGGGGCGACTGTCCGGGGGCACCAGGGGCGGGGGACTTGATGGCGATTTGTCTAGGGGGGTCATAGGCACTGGAGTTGAGGGGGAGACAGGGGTGAGGGGGCAGAGAAGCCAGGCGAGCATCTTTGAACCCTTCATCCACCCCCAGAGAAGTCAGGGCATGGGGATTATAGGAGCAGGAAGAGGACAGGGTGGTGGGAAAGGAATGGCATGAGCCAGACTCGGTCCCAAATGCACTCTTTTCCACCTTTCACACATGCTGAGCCCGGGTGTGGTCTGGAGAACACTTCTCCCCGGCCCAGAGCCTCTGGGCTTCTTCAGCGGAAACAAGCTCGGCCAGCCTTCACACAGCTCCCTCGGACCCCACTCCTGCGTTTCTCATCCTCACTACTCAGAGGATATCCTCACTGTACTGCTCCCTCACAGGAGCTCGGAAATCCTTTCTCTTGTCTCCCTTGCATCTCAACTGCTGCCTCTGCTCATGAGCGTGTGTCCCCCCCCCCCCCA